AGGAGGAGGCTGCAATGCTTGGTAATAAATGTACGCATTATCCTGCCCATGTAATTGTAACCCCTCTGTACAGTATGTTCACAAATAAAAAATAAATAAATTTTAAAAAAATAAAAATAAATAAATAAATAATGAGTGTACTTAACACTATTAAGTCACCATTTAAAATAGTTAAGATTGCAATTTTTATGCTAGTTATATTTTTTCCATCATTAAAAATAATCATTTAAGTGAGGTACTGGTGGCTCACAGCTTTAATCCTAGCTACTCTGGAGACTCAGATCTAAGGATTGTAGTTCAAAGCCAGCCCAGGCATAAAAGTCCATGAGACTCTGTGAAGTCTTACCTCCAATTAATCACCAAAAAGCAGGAAGTGTAAGGATGATTCCAAGTTGTAGAATACCAGCCTTGCATGAAAAGGCTAAGCAAGAGTGGGAAAGCCCTAAGTTCAAGCCCCACTAATAATTTAATAATGATTTCTTATTATTAAAGAGTAATGAAGTGCTGATGAGCACTAGTGGCTCATACCCTTCCTTAATCTTAGCTATCCAGAAGACTGACATATGAGGATCACAGTTTGAAGTTAGCTTGGGTAGACTCTTATCTCCAATTGACCAGCAAAAAGTCAGAAGTGAGGTGTGACTCAAGTACTAGAGTACCAACCTTCACCAAAAAAGCTAAGACCCTGAGTTCAAGGACCAGTACTAGTACAAAAATGAAAACGGGCTAGGAGTATATATAGCTCAGTGTACATGTACACTAAGAAACTATTCCCCAGCACTACAAAGGCCAACATAAAGGTGATGAAGCCCTGATGCAGAGTAAAATCTGAGTGAACCTTGGAAATAATACATTAAAGAATCTATTCATAAAAGTAAACATGCGGGGCTGGGAAGGTGGCTCAGTGGTAGAGTACTTGCCTTGCATGCATGAGGCCCTGGGTTCGATTCCTCAGCACCACATAAGCAAAAAGCAAAAAAAAAGCCGGAAGTGGTGCTGTGGCTCAAGTGGTAGAGCGCTAGCCTTGAGCTGAAGAGCTGAGGGACAGCGCCCAGGCCCAGAGTGCAGGCCCCAGGACTGGACTCCCCCCCCCCCGCAAAAACAGTAAACATCTATATGAATTAAATTATATGAAATGTCCAAAATAGATAAATCCATAGAAATTCAAATGGGTATTTATTAAGGGGATGGGGCAAAAGCCCTTCCTATCAACCAAAACCTCCAGTTGAATATTTCTGCAAATCGAAAAGCCAACTCAGATACAATGAACAATTAAACTGCATATAAAGTATCCTTTCAAGTATAAACATACAAAATATATTTAATTTTACTTTTCAGATAGTTTGAAATAAAAATATTACACATTATACTCAATTTACTGTAATAAAAGCTATTTTCAAATTATGTGAAGGCACAATTATTGAGAGTACTCCTGTAAAAGTTTTGGGAAAAAACGTCAGTATTACCTTGTTCTAGGCCGCTGTTCATCTTCAGATTCACTAACTGCTTCACTAACTCCTGATTCCTGAAAATCAGTATCTTCTGAGTCTTCACTGCTCACTTTAATTAAAAAAATATGTATCAAATTGCTAAGCATTTTACTACAGAAACAAAATTCACTTAAGTTACCAATAAATTCACATTAATAATTTAAAGTATCATAAGAACATTAGGAATATGCATGACTTTATATTACAGCTTATAGAATATACCTTTTAATGACTGAAATGTTTTAAGTAGCCCTGATCAGAAAATGCAAAATTACCCAAAATCTGAAGTATGTCAATATGCATCTACAACTAGAAAATGTCATATTTTGCCTCAGATGAGGAGTTGCTGTCAAAATGCAATAGTGCACTAAGAATGTTGTATAAATTTCTATCCAAGATCTGTGCATAAGGCAACACATATTAATGAATCCATGAATTGTGTATCTATACATGGGTGCCTTAGACAAATTATCTCCTTATAGATATTAGGCTGAGATATGAAAAGTGAGGTTCAAAGCCAACCCAGGGCAGACAAGACCATGAGACTCTTTTCTCCAACTAACAGCAAAAAGATGGAAGCAGAGATATTGCTCAAATGGTAGAGCACGAGCCTTGAGCGAAAAAGCTAAGCAAGAGTGCAAGGTCCTAAGTTCAAATCCCAGTACTGCTACCAGAAAGAATCATCTAACATTTCTATGTGCTGGGAACCTTCATAATCATGTCTTCTAGCTCTTCATAAAATATGTAATAAATTCATGTGAATTATAATGTCCTATCTAATTATACCTTAGCATGTGTTATTCAAACTCCTTTTATGGCCCCCTCCTACCTTCTAGTGACCACTATTATAATTCCATTCTCTACTACATGAAATCAACTTGTTTTAACTTCCACACAAGAACATGTGGTATATGTCTTCCTATGCCTGATTTCATTTCAAAAATCCCTGTTTCACCTATTTTAACACTCCCCAGCTGGGCACTGGTGGCTCACACCTATAATCCTAGCTACCTGGAAGGCTGAGATCTAAAGATCACTGTTCAAGCCAGTCCTGGCAGCAAAGTCCGTGAGATTCTTCTTTCTAATTCACCAAGAAAAAAAAAAAATAAAGGTGGAAGTGGAGCTGTGGCTCAAGTGGTAGAACACTAACCTTAAACAGAAAAAGCTCAGGGATAATCCCCAAGCCCTAGTTCATGCTCTAAGACTTGTTACCCCCCCACCCCCCAAAAAAAACCTGAATGCAGTGACTTGACTCACACCTATAATTCTAGATACATGGGAGGCAGAGATCAGGAGGATCATAGTTTGAGGATAGCATGGGCAAAAAGTTCACAAGTTTCTATTTCAACCAATTAAAAGTTGGACATGGGCTGGGAAGGTGGCTCAGTGGTAGAGTGCTTGCCTTGCATGGTCGAGGCCCTGGGTTCGATTCCTCAGCACCACATAAGCAAAAAGAAAAAAGGCGGAAGTGGTGCTGTGGCTCAAGTGTTAGAGCACTAGCCTTGAGCTGAAGAGCTGAGGGACAGCGCCCAGACCCAGAGTTCAGGCCCCACGACCGGACCCAAAAAAATAAAATAAAATAAAAATAAAAGTTGGACACGGTGATCTGGGTCTGTCATTCTAGATATATGGAAACATAAACAGGATTGTGGTGTAGTCTACTCAGGCAAAAAGTAAGACTCTTTTGGAAAGTAGCTGTGGTTAAAAAAAAAAAAACTAGGGCCCAGTGGCTGGTGGCTCACACCTATAATTCTAGGTACTCAAGAGGCTGAGATATGAGGATTGCAGTTTGAAGCCAGTCCAGGCAGGGAAAGTCCTTGAGACTCTTATCTCCAATTAACCACCACAAAACAAGAAGTGGCACTGTGGCTCAAGTGGTAGAGAGATCGCCTTGAGCTGAAGAGCTGGGGGATAGCACCTAGGCCTGGAGTTCAAGCCCCATGACCAACCAAAAAAAACCCAAAAAACTAGGGATATGGTTCCACTGACTGTCTGCTGAGGAAGTATAATGCTCTGAATTTAGTACTGCAATGAACAAGAGGACCAAAAAAGAAATCTCAGAATTCTAGTATAATTAAAATACTTTAACTACTTACAAGTCAAGTTTTATATATGATTACTAGCCTTTATAGTTTCCAAAAGAAAGCATTTTCTTGTAGTTTTGTGTAATCTTTTGTTTTATATGTTGCCTATAAATTTACATTAAGTCATATTTATTGATCATTATATTGTGAATGTGTATAACAACAAAAAGGTGAGTTTTATCTCAAGTTTCAGGGTCATCTTCCCACTCTAAAAACTTATTTCCCTCAAGTAAGAGACCAGCTGATAGTTTCTCAGTCTGAGTAGGCCAATTGTTTCATAGGCTCTGCTTATCTCATTCCTGCTATTAGCAAAGGAAACCAGTATGTTTCTTCTAATCAAAATGCAAATATCTTACCCTTCCTTCTACTTCGAATTTTGGCTTCCTTTTGCTCTTTAGGCTTTGTGTTTTTTTCTTCTCCAGATTCTCCATCACTCACAGTCAGCTTGTGCCTCAAAAGCCTATGTCTGTATCTTGGCTTCTTAGATTCTTCAGAATCTGAATCTGATTCAGAATTGACTGGATTTTTTGTGTCTAAATGAGAAACACATATCAATAAACCCATTTTTTTCCTTTAAAATGTTTTCTAAGCATGTTTTAAGGAAGTAGACAAAGGGGAGCACACAAATGGAGGGAGGAAAAGTGAGCAAAGTCATCATTATATTCAATGTACATTATGCAAAAAATGGAACTACATAACTTGAGGACAGGGATGGGAAGGGAAAATAGGGGAGAACAAAGGAAAGGGTGACATTGACCAAGATGCATTATACTTATAACCTGACTTGTGGAACTGCAAACCCTTTATACAACTACTTAACAATAATAAAAAAATGTTTTTCAAAGCTATTATTAGTAAGAAGTAGCATAACAAAGCAGACATCAGAGCTGTGCACATACATCGTAGCACTGGTGACAATCTTGCATATCACACTTGATATATTACTATTATTAAAATATCACCAGTGCCTATCACTTCCAAGCATATTTTGCTCAAAATTCATCTGTTTATTGGCAGTAACTGACAAAATGAGAATAGCGTCCATAATTATTACAAGAGATTCAGGGGTAAAAGCAAGAAAGTTTCAAATATTTTAATAAGCTTGAATATGCATGCACTAAGGGAATATTTAATTGCTGATATTCTTCAAGTACTGAACAGCTCAAGCAATGAACTGATGGCACCCTGTGTCTGGGGAGCTCACCTTCATCTCCTGGATTGACTTCAAGTTGTTTTCCATTTCTTTTTTTCTCTTCTTCTGGTTCATCATCTGAAGACCCATCCTCATCAGAGGAAAGATTGGCTTTAATTTCTTCTAAAAGCATCTTCTTGGCAATTCTTGAGAGTAAGAAAAATTTTTTTAAACTATATATTTGGGAGTGAAATATACCAATTAAAAAGACCAATATACCAATTAAAAAGACAATTCTGTTATCAAAATTGAAGTGTCAATAGATTGTATATTTTATGACTATTTTGAACAATTCCAACGTGATGCTACATGTTTCTATTGCTACCATCATCCAGCAAACACAATGGGAGACAAGCCAGTAGTGGTAAATCACACAGACAAAATTCCAGAGAAGTTTTATTCAACAGCAAAACATATTGCTGGAAACTGAGTATTAATAAATCATTCTATTATGAAACAGTGACTCAACCTAGGATATTTTTGAACCTCAATTTCACTTTACTCCATAAATCTGTTAACCAGATGAAAAGTATCACCAAATGTTAGGCACTAAAGCAATAAGGAATCTAATAATATCCAAGTTAGGGCAGAGAAGGAACATGACCATTATTCATATATACAGTAAAAGAGTACACATTACCATGAGTTATCATTTTCAGAAAAACAGCACAGTAGATTCACTCTCAATAAAATGTCTTATGGTGCTAATCAAAGACCAATTTGTTAATAGAAAAATCAATTACTAAAAGCACGAGAAAATAATTCTTTTTTTTTTTTTTTGCCAGTCATGGTGCCTGAACTCTGGGCCTTGGCACTGTCCTTCAGCTCTTCAGCTCAAGGCTAGCACTCTACCACTTGAGCCACAGTGCCACTTCCAGCTTTTTCTGTTTACGTGGTGCTGAGGAATCGAACTCAGGGCCTCGTGCATGCAAGGCAAGCACTCTACACTGAGCCACCTTCCCAGCCCCGAGAAAATAATTCTTTTACTAATATTATCATGTTAAAATATTTTCCTATGAATGTCAGGCGCCAGTGGCTCACATCGGCTACTCAGGAGGTTGAGATCTGAGAACCAAGATTCAAAGCTAGCCAGGGCAGGAAAGTTAATGAGCTTCTATCTCCAATTTACCAGCAAAAAACTGAAAGTGGAGTTGTGACTCAAGTAGTAGAGTGCTGGTCTTGAGCGAAACAGTCAGGCAAGAGTATGAGACCTTGAGTTCAAGCCTCAGTGCCAGCACCAAAAAGGAATAATATATATATATATATATATATATATATATATATATATATATATACACACACACACACACACACACACACATTATATATAATATACCTATCATATGTGTATATCTGTACTAATTTAAATAATCTGAAAATGTCAAAGTAACATGAAGCTTTTGTGAGACAAGGGACTTCATCAGGGTAGGTATTCTTGTCATAAATTTACAAATCACAGTAACAAATGCATACATAATATAAATATTCAAGGAAGAAGATGACAAAGAGTCCAGTAGTTTGCTATGAGCTAATTTCCATGGTATAATTATACATTTGGTAATCAAGACTGACCAGCTCAACAAAATCTTAACAGATGACATTATACAATCTTTCTTGATTTTTGAATTTGAAACATCTCTTTTTACTTCCTTGATTGTACTCACATTTCGAAGCATGAATGAATGAATTTTCATTCATGGGACTAGGTCATGATGGCTCACAAGTTGAATTCTAGCTACCTGAGAGGCTGATCAAGAGGCTCAAAGTTCTATGCCTCCCTAGGCAAAACACTGTTATACTCCTTCTCAGTGCAGTGGCATGAACCTGTCTTTCCAGCTACTTAGAAGGCTGAGATTAGGAAGATAGCCGAGGAAAAAAGTTCACAAGACTCCATCTCAATGGAACAAGCTAGATGTAACCTGTCTCCCAGCTATAGCAGGAAACCTTAGACAGTAGGCCAAGAACAGACCTGGAAAAAAAATGAGACCCTATCTCAAAATAACCACTGCAAAAAAGAGCCAGCAGTATTGCTCAGCAGTAGATTGTGTAACTAACAAGGAAGAAGCCCCAAGTTGAAACATCATCCTTATTCACCAAAAATCAAAAAACAATTCACTCAATGGTAGGAGATGTTAATTATGCTAAGACTTCCTCAGTTTCGACAAGCGGAATGTTCCTTGCTATTTATACCCCAAATGCCTAGACTGAACTCAAATAGGCAATCACTTTCATAAATGTTTATTATATGCCTTTTTGTGCTTTCTCTTTCAAACAGATGAATTAGAAATATTAAAAGAACACATAAAATCATTAATTGGTCAAAGAAACCACACATGAATTTGATATTCTGAGGGATTTCTGCTCTGTTTTATATTTCAAGGGACTATAGATTGTATCACTTTAATTTAAGTCTTACTGGAATTGAATTCTAAAGCTTTGTTCTTTATACTTCTAGATCAGTGGTTTGTTGACTTGTGATTGTATACAGTTAACACTTTAAAAGCAGAGACTATTAAAAGTCATAGCCTCTTGTTTTGCCAAGAAAGAAAAGTAAATGTAAATCATTTTGACTTCCTTCATTTTACAAAAGAACTACATCTAACACATCCTCCTCTCCAAGTCAAAACAGTTTCAGAATAAAAGAAATGTACTTCAAATGGAATGGAAGCATCTTTATGGGGGGAAAAAAATCTCTAAAATCTTAGGGCTGGGAAGGTGACTTAGTGGTAGAATGCTTGCCTAGCATGCATGAAGCCCTGGGTTCCTCAGCACCACATCAACAGAAAAAGCCATAAGTGGCACTTGGCTCAAGTGGTAGAGTGCTAGCCTTGAGCTGAAGAGCTGAGGGCGAGCACCCAGACCCAGAGTTCAAGTTCCCCAATTGGCAAAAAAAAATTATAAAATCTCTCATAAAAGCTATATTCTTATTTTTCATGCAACAGGAAAAAATGTTCTCTAGTTAATTTGGGCAATGAATTTTAAAATAAATCTGCATGTGTATAAAATGTATAAAGTGGCCGGGCATTGGTGGCTCGCACCTGTAATCCTATCTACTCAGGAGGCTGAGATCTGAGGATCATAGTTCAAAGCCAGCCTGGGCAGGAAAGTCCATGAGACTCCAATAAACCCCCCCATCCCATCCCATCCCATCCCCAGAAAACCAGAAGTGGCGCTGTGCCTCAAGTGGTAGAGCGCTCGCCTTGAGCTGAAGAATTGAGGGTCAGTGCCCATGCCCAGAGTTCAAGCCTCATGACCAACAACAACTAAACAAAACAAAACAAAACTTGTAAAGTGTTGACTAGTGGATTGCCAAGTGGTCAAATAGTTCACAAGAACTTAAAAGCTTTGGGTAGGTCAGTAAGAGCCACCAAAACTAAATTCTGAATCTCGTTACCCTAAGTGTTACTTCAATACCTGATTTCAGTTTGTATTCACAAATGCCAAAAGCTCTAAAAGTCCATATGAGCTGTGGAAAATCTGGCATAATTCTAAACAGCAGCATAAATTTTCTTTTTTCAATCTCTAGACTCCTAAAAACATCTACTAAATGGAAGGTCAAAATATGTCAACCTACCTAATTCAATCTCAAGTTCTGGACTGTCAAGAAACAGAGAAATATGATGCACATGAGATAATAATATACAATTGGATATCAATTAATAAATCATAAAATTACAGAAAATGGAATCAAAGCCATATACTGAAGAATTACAACTTATCACCAACCTTCAGAAACTGAATAATTATAGTCACTTTAGAAGCAGGACAAGTATAAACTTCAGAGAATGGTGATTTTTTTCTCCAAATTACTAAATATTGAGTGATAGCAACTCCCTAAGCTTCACCTAGCTAAGGAAGATAAAAGTTTTATATTTGCCCCCACATCACTTTTTTGATAAAAGGAAAATCTTACATATAACCAAGTAAATTAAGAATGTTAATAAAATCTTTCTGCAAAAATTATGAACAGTGCATAAATGATAATTGATTACTCAAATCTAACCTACTTTATCTCAAAATTTAAAGGAGCCTAGGGCTGAGGTTGACCTTCAACCTTAGTAGTCAGCAAGCATGCTGAGGTTGAGATGTGTCCCATCTACAAAGCCTGCTGTGAGATGCTTTAAAGGGAAACTCCACTACCTTAACTCTGGAGTCACGGGCCACAGAGACTTCAAGGACATCATCACTTGAGAACCAGCTGACGCTGGCAAAGCATCATTTTGGAGGCCTCGGCTGGACCCATGCTGGTATGCCTGTGATGGATGTATAGTCATGATCCCTAGTTGATTCTGTTTGCTCTGAAGTTTCCTTTCTTGAAGCTTTCCAAGACGGTTCTGAGAAAATCATCCAGGCAACAAGGTACTGCCCCTGAAATCTCAATGCTCAATATTACATCTTGGGGCAGGTGTAGCATCCAAAGCAGCCATGACTCTATTAGAAGCATTAGAAGCACAGGCTGTGCCACTCTGGTGGCAGATAACCTGAGCAGAGCCGGAGGTAGCGGGGCCACTCCTCTATTTTCCTGAAAGGCAGGGAAGGAAGAGGGGGAGACAGCAAAACAATATGGGAGGGAGGGAAAACCTCCACAAACAGTGATTGGAATTGGTGCATGAGAACTAAATAACAGGACCCCAAAATGCTCAAAAAATAAAATCTTCGAAATTACATAATGAACACTAAGATAATGCCTTATTACACCGTCCTCTACTAAAAGAAAGCAAAAAGAACATAAAAATGAGCCCAGTAATACAATCAGAAAAACATAATTAGAAAGCTAAAAAACACCCTTAATAATTATGATATTAGGGCTGGGAAGGTGGCTCAGTGGTAGAGTGTTTGCCTTGCATGCATGAGGCCCAGGGGTTCAATTCCTCAGCAACAAACAAACAGAAAAAAGCCAGAAGCGGCACTGTGGCTCAAGTGGTAGAGCGCTCACCTTGAGCTGAAGAGCTGAGGGACAGTGCCCAGGCCCAGAGTTCAAGCCCCACACCGACCAAAAAAAAAATTATGATACTAGCTAGAAAGGAACTGAGTACTGTGCTTCCTTTTTAGACTCAAGTAAGAAAGATAGGTAAGGAAGTGGCGCTGTGGCTCAAGTGGTAGAGCACTTGCCTTGAGCTGAGGGATAGCGCCCAGGCTCAGACTT